CGAAGATGACAACAGCGGGTCCCTTGCCGGTTTTGGCAAAAGAACCACCCCCGCCACCTTCCACGCCGCCGGGATCCGTCCAGCCTTGTATATGCTGTTAAAAAGGTCCAGGAACCGCCCAGGCCGTTGATCCGCTACCATCTTGACAACCTGTCTCGGTACCCCTTCCATACCCGCAGCTTTTTTCGGGTTACATTTCTCCAATGCCGGCCGCAGGTCATCCTCCGTTACGCACAGGTCCCGTAACTCCTCCTCTTGCGTCTGCAGGATGCGAGAACCATGACCATCCTCCGTCTGCTCCGTTCGACTGGTGACGAAAAGGTCATCGAGAATCCTTGCAACCCTGTCCCTACTAAGACTCTCCGGTGGGCCGTTACTTGTCATTTTTGCTCTTATTACACGGTACGGCCTCCTCCAGGGATCCTGTTCCAGAGTTGCACAGAACTCCCTCCACTTCTCGTCCTTGCTGCGTCCGATCGCTCTTTTTAACTTCCTCCTGGCCTCCTTAAATTCGTCTACCAGCCCAGCGTTGGCTCTACCAGCTGCCCCTGCCCGCTGAGCTTTTCTTCTCCATCTCAGAGTTGCCCTTCTCATCTCGGACAACTCATCGTTCCACTAATAGTTTCTATTTCTTCTCCCACGCGGCAGTAGAATCTTCTTCAGTTCGTCGGCACACGTATGTTCCAGTTGTTCCTGGAATTGGTCGCCGTGTGTCGCGTCGTCATTGTCCATAAAATTGAGATATCCGTCCAATCTACTCAGAAATTTACCCTCGTCAACGTTCTTAGTCGAATATCTAAAATTGATACTACCACCAGTCTGCCTCTTCCTATTATTTAAAAACACATGTAATAAATAGCTATGATCAGAGGCAGAGTACCAATTCATAACAACACTCTTCTTCCAACTCTGCCTCATTCGTCTGCTCACACTCAAAATGTCCTACAAGCTTGTTCTTCCATTCCTTACAAAGGAGTATGCTTCCGTCGTCGTGATCGGCATCAGTTCGTTCTTCGTGATAGCTTCAAGTAGATACGTCCCACTCGGCTCCGTCCTCCTTCCTCCCCAGGTAGTGGACTTTGCATTGAAGTCGCCAGCCACTAACATCGCCTGGGCTCTTCTCCTGCCCTCCTTTATAGCCTCCTCCAGTTCTGCTATGTAGCCGTCGAACTCCTGCCTGTTCACATTAGGAGAACAATATCCACTGATACACATAGTGTCCCCGACCCTGATGCCAACCACTCCTCTCTTGCTGATCAGCGTCTCACTAGACGCTTGTCGTCCATTAAAAAGAGTGACCCATAGCGATGCATCCCGGACCGTATCATTGTACCAATACCATAACTGTTAATACGGCTCGGATACGATTACTATGTCCACCCTGTTTTCGCACGCATATTGTGCTAAAAGATCCTGCGCTAGCCTGCATCTATTCAGGTTAATCTGCAGGACTTTTATCCTCTTCGTCTCCTAGTCTCCACCCTGACCATCGGGCAGACCAGCGAGTCCGTAACGTGCCTAACAGTTGCATCTTCCTTCCTGGAGCACATCGCACATCTCGGCTCCTTCGTGCGCTCCTTCATTATGTGTTCTCCGCTTCCACACCTCCTGCATAGCTTCCTACCAGGACATACCACGGTGCATCTCGCCGCCGTATGCCCTAGTATATGGCATCTATAGCAGCTCCGCAGATCCGGCAGGATCCTGGCCGATGCTGTAGTCAAGCCAATCCTAAATCTCCCTAACCCCTCCTCTCTGGGAATCGCATTAATTGGTAGCACCACCACCGCCACTTGCGTTCCCCAGGGCGCCATCCTCATTGACTTAGTCCCGATGCTATCGCCCACGGACCTCCCCCACTCCCTTTTCAGGCCCATCACCAGTTTCTCCTTGGTGGTGAGGGCATCGATATTTTTGATCTGCATCGTTGTTCTGTTCACCAATGCCGACACTTCCATTTTATCGCTCAAGGCGGCCTTGAGCTTTTCCGCCACTTCGCCCACAGCCACCTTCCTGTCAAATTCAATGAGGATGTGACCAGCCCTGGTCTTCCTCATGCCGATCGCCCCTACGATCGTTTCCCTGACGTCATTATTTTTCTGTAAATCTCCATCCAATCCCGACCTTCTTCCACCTTGATCAGGATTACCCCTTTTCTCCTCCTTTCAGTTGCTATACCTCTACTGCTACCTCTCTCTCCCTGTTCGTTACCACGAACACCTGAGGAAGGCGGCTCCTGAGGTCTTCCCTCTCCCTCTTTCTTCTGTGTACTGTCTGGCAGCCGTCCGAGACTTCACTCCTCTGCCTATCCGAATATTCATAGGCCTGCGACCGACCACACATCTCCGCATAGGTCGGCTCCCCTTTCCTCGGTCTCTTCACTACCGCGGCTGCCTTTTTTCCTTCACCAGGGGACACGAACTTCCTTTTGGGATATTCGGATACTAGCCTTTGGTCCACATCATCTCTCCTCTCACTACAAGTCAAACTTGGATGTTACTCTGGACTTTGGTTGTAGGGGTGTATCGTGTTTAGAGTGACTGCCAGCGTTCGGCTCGAGACGTTGACGTGTGCGGACGTGTTTGTGGCGCGCTCCCGAAATTAGCAATTATTGAGAATTAAGAGTGACGTGTGAGTACGTAATAGTAGCATAAGTGTAAAGACTACTATTATTAATGTGTTAGAACAGTGAAATGAAAGGGAGTGGAGGGTAGATATAAGACAAATAAGTAATATGCGATGCCGTTATGACAGATGAGGAGGGACAATTTGGGATAAATATATTACATAACTAACAATAGACTGTTTAGTGGACAGTAAGTTGACAGTGGTATATGCTCGTGATGTGGAGGAGACAACTAGTCGCGTATAACCACTAATAAATGGTGGAAATTAAAAAGTTTGAAGTTAGGTTATGGGCGGTTATGTATTTAGCGTAAACAAACGTTAATTTGGGAATTACTTGATAAAACGAACTTTTTGTGATTGCAAGGAGGGGGAACTGCCAGCGTATAGCTCGGTCCCGGCAGGTTGGCTTTCCAACCGATTATTCCGGCACCGTCTCGGCACTCATTTGCATGAGTACCGCCTGTACTGACGGTCGCAGGTTTCCTCCCTGGCTCGTGCTTATCGTATTTTTCTTTTCCATGGTTCTTTGTCTATTGCTTCTGGTTCTTTCATGTTTGTTGTCCTATCTTGAGTCCTGTGTTGTTTGTTGTTCCGAGCTTTTCTTCGTGAAGTTTCTTCTATTAGTTATTGCCGTCTTCGTCGTTATTGTTGCTGTTGTTGTTCTCTCTGTTGTCCAGTGTTGTAGATTCTTCTTCTCTGTTCTGTTCGGATGCCCGTCGAGCCAGCCTTGGGCTCGTCTTGGAGGCTGGCTTGTCTGCTCACTCGGTTGTGCCGATCTTCTCTCTGAAGGTCGCCCCTATTATGACGTACCCCCCATCTCTCGTAGGATTCTCCTTCTCTTCTGCTTCTTTGCCTGCAGAACGCTCCTTGTGAACTGACGGAAGTGGGAGTATACGTTCTTTCTTACGAACTTTGTTACGAAGATTAGGCAATCCTCTAGGATATGATGAGGAGTTTCTTCCTCGCCGCAGTCGCACGTGTCCATTTCACTCAGACGGAATGTCTTGAGTTTGGTGTTGAAATCCCCGTGGCCACTGATGAACTGTGTCCTGCCCTTCATCGTAGCCTGCCAGCGTTCTTGCCGCTTCTCGATGGCTTCTCTGACGATTGCTCTTTCGCTGTTTGCATCGTCCTGTCCTGTTTTCTTCTTATAGATCCTCGCCCTAACTTCGATTAACAGGTCAATGGGAATGACCCCAGCGATGACCTGTAGTGCTTCTGTTGACGTATCTTCCTTGTCTATGAACCGATTGAGTCTCGTGAGTTTCCCTCTCATTGCCGCATTTCGATCCTTTCGGAGCGTACGGATTTCCTCGGAAAAATGGATGTTCTGTAATAATTTTATTAGCTTATCGTGTGTTAGGTTCAATTCGGTTACGGTTAAGGGCGTCTCTCGGTTCTGTTTTTGTTTCCAACGGAGGCAACGAGCAATGATTCGTATCAACTTGGGCTACGATAAGTATCTTTGTAACAAGCTATAGCCGGCGGGAGTTGTGGACAGACAAATCACCCTTTTCTTGTTCCTAATTCGATTTGCGGCGTTAATGTCCATGTCGGCTAGCAGTCTTCAGACTGCTGGAGCAACTCAGGACCGTGCTTCCAAATGGTCGGGCGTAGAAACTCTTCGGACGTTTGGCCTCGCGATATTGGATCCGCGGGATTGTCGTTGGTGGGAATATAGCGCCAATCGCGGATACTAGTTTTTGTTTGGATTCCGGAAGCTCGGTCAGCGACAAATGTTTTGAGCATATGAGGTGATGTGTTTATCTAGTAGAGCACAATGGTAAAATCGGTCCAATAGATAGTTCGAGTAATATTGTGTAATAGGGCCTGCTGTGCTATCGATACCAGGAACGTGAGGAGGAGTGCTCCGCTCAGCTCGAGCCGAGAAATGGTTTAGGATTTGAGCGAGGCGGCTTTTGATTTTGCGGTTAACAGTTGTATCCAGATGCGGCCGTTGGGGTTGGTAGTTCAGAGATAAACACAGGCTCCGTAAGCCTTCTCGCTAACATCACGGAAGCTATGCATTTCAATCTCCGTTGCGGATTTAATTATTGTTTTGCGTTTGAATCTGATGTTGTTTGACGGTGGTAACTGGGAGTATTACTTGTTCCATTCTGTATGCAAAACAATCGGAATTGATTCGTCTCAATCGATTTTGAATGACCATACTCGTTGGAGTAGCATCTTGGCCCGAACGATTACCGACGCGAGCAAACCTAGCGGGTCGTAGATTTTGGCGATCTCCGAACTGATGATTCGTTTCGTGACTCGGGACGGGGTGGGTCTGACTTCGACCGAGTAAAGAATGGACCGTCGGATGAGTTTCAAAATATACCCAGTGTTTTCAATGTTTGCGAATCGTCCAAGTGTTATTGGTGGTTTGTTTCCTCTGCGGAAAGTCCTTGTAATAATTCCTTGTCATTTGATGCCCATTTCCGGATGTTTAAATCCACTAGTTGAAGTACCTCGGCGAGTTCTGATCTAAGTGTAAGGGCTTCGTTCTTGGTCTCAGCATGAGAGCATCGTCGAAGTAGAAATCCCGCTGCAGTACTTACGCTACACGCGGAAATCGATGTCCCTCGTCTTCTGCCAATTGCTGGAGGCACCAAATGGCTAGATACAGGGCTGCGGATAAACCGAACGTTGCTGTGTTGAATTGATATGTTTCGGTTTCTCCACTCGCGCTGCGCCATAATATCCTTAGACATTTTCGGTTCTCTGGTCGTACGAGGAATTGTCGGTACATCTTTTCAATATCGCCTGTGAGTACGTATTGGTGAGAGCGGAATCTCAGTAGAATATCGAACAGATCCTCCTGCAATTTTGGTCCTGTGTGCAAAGTATCGTTTAATGAAACTCCAGCGGTGCTTAACGCCGATCCGTCGAACACTACCCAGAGTTTGGTGGTGTTGCTCGATTCTTTCATCAAGCCGTGGTGCGGTAAATAATACCGGTTGCTTGCGGATTGATCCGAGACGATCTTTGTCATGTGGCCCAAATCTAAATGTTCTTGAATCGCCGCACGATATGCGGTCTCGAGTTGTTTGTCGCGCTGGAATCGGCGATGAAGAGAGGATCTGAGCTGACTTAGACGATCCTAGAGAATGAAGCCTCTCGTTGAATGGCAGGACAACGATGTAGTGTCTTTCTCACCCACGATCCTGAAGCGAAGGGTAAGACCGTCGGGAGAGCCGCCGAGGTACATTTCCTCAACTCCCGCTTGCGTGAGTCTCATCTGGATCTGGGACTAAGAATGGTACCACGGGCGGTCGAGTGTTAGCCCTGAGAGTGTAGCGAGCCTTCGACTCGGCCAATTATGGGTATGGATTCGTGGTGGCAGTGGTTGTGGCCAAATTCTGGCAAGAGGGCCGATTTAAGGGGGACTTGGCTCCCCCGAATGGCCTTCGGCGGGTGAGCAGCGTCCCACCTGCTCCGGATACCGTCCCGGAAGACGGAAGGGCTTGGAAACGCCCCGTTCGACCTGTAGGGCTTGGAAAGGGCCCCGTTCGACCTGAGACGAGTGAAAGCCCCTGCAGGCCTAACTAATCGAGGTAACATACGTACTTGGTACCATGTGCGCTGGTTGGGCGTATCCCTACTCCGATGGCTTCTGGGATTGCCCGGGTGCTGTATGGATTCTATATCTGAGGAAAGTACCCGACACCAAGAATCCACACTACGTAGCGCCTTTCTCTGATACGTTGGAAATGATTTCGGAAGTGCTCCTCGCATTGTCGTTCTGACTCCAAAGGTGCGTGGTGGGCGGTCCCTCGCCGACTTCCCTAAACCGCACGAGGTCAGCTTATAGAGCCGTAGTGGATGCGTGGAAGGTGTTTGTCGTGGTTTGGGAAGTTGAACTCCCCCCGATTACCCAACCGAATCGCGTTTTCTGGAGACGCAGTTTAGACTCGTCCGGTTGCGTTAGGCTAATTTGTCCGACACACATCGACGCAAGTGTTGATCCCGAGTTTAATAAAACATCGATCGGGGCTGGTAAGTGGAATCGTGGATCGACTAATATTAGATTCCAGGATGTGTCAAGGATCGAGCGATCGATGGGTTGGCTTGGGATTAGGGTCGATATGGTAGGTATGGCAAGGAACGTTAATGTTCGTTTGTATGTGTTGTCTGTCGAAGTAATAGTGGCCGTTACATATCGCTTTGAGATCGTCGTTAAAGTGTCTAAAGCTCCAATTGGGACCGAATATTTGTTTTGTCTTATTTCGAGCGAGTTTACTAATTGTTCCGACATTCCGGTGAGGAGTAGCGCTCGACATCGGATTGGTTGTTGCTTCTTGTTTAGCACGTTAATTTGAGCTGTTGTTATTAGGTCGTTGCATAATGAATTGTATACTGCTGGTTTAATATGTTCGGTCGTCAATGGAGTCGATTATCGGCGTCATTGTTTAGGTGCTCGTTTGTGATTGAGAGATGTGCTTGAAGACGATGCTTTTCGTGGAGTCTTTGATCTGTGCTTTGTTTTGTGCCTTCTTTGACGAGTAGGTGATGCATGAGATGATGAAGAGGGTGTAGTGGATCGGTAGTGGATTTGATGATGAGGATTCTGTACTAGATGATGAGGAGCGAGGCCCTGCATAGTGTTTTACTTTATGTGACATCGTATGGTGTCGTTCTCCACACGCACGGCATGACTGAGCGCGACAATCTTGCGCGGTGTGTCTTGTCCGTAGGCAGTTGACGCATAAAGGTTTTCTTTTGACCTCCTTAAAGGCGCTCGCGAAGGGATTTGATTTTGAATGTTTCACATCTCCAAATGGCGTGTGGTCCTTGGTAGGTGGCACATGTCGGCGTATTCTGTGTCGTGGTGAATACGTGGTGCGCGTTGACGTAGGTTGGATTGATCTGATGAGCCTCTTGGTTGTTTGACCTTGGTGATCGATCTGGTGCTTCTTGCCAATCGCTCAAGGAAATTGAATAGATGAATATATTGAGGCAATTCCCTATTGGTTAGAGTCATCTTCGACTGTTGCTGGATGCTCGCCGGTAGTTTCGATAATAGAAGACTGCTGATCATAGCACTTGTATCGGGATAAGATTCTCCTAATTTGTTTAACACTAAAGCTACCAACACTTCGTGTATACCTATTCCTGCCCTGTGCGGTCAAAATGACCGGTGAGTAAAGAAGTAATAATTTTTATAATTTAACTTAGATAATGGTTAATTTATAACTAAATGTATATAAAATAATGAACATTCATAAAATTTCGTCCAAATTTACTTTTGTTTAATCTACCAATCTGATTATGGAGGAAAATCCTTTACAAAGCAGTGCCCTGAATATAATTTCAATAACGAGTGTCGAATCGATTTCTACGTAGTGGAGGCACCAACTGGTAGATCAAGCCATCCGGGTGAGTCGTTTCCATTTTACCCCGATTTCGGAGCCGAGTGTTCGCTAATTAAAGAATCCGTAGTCTTGAGAATTTCTGGAAAAAGAACGATTGATATAGTAGTAATGCGAGGAATAAGAAATATTGGTACTAAATGTATCGCTCAAATCTTGTCCGTGGCAGGTGTTAGTGGTTAGAGATAAATTTTTCATGTCCTCGCTGATAGTTATTTAAAAATATGATATCGCGATTTCCCGTTCAATTTTAAGTCAAGGTTTCGACGTCATATTACACAAAATAGCCTCGCTATGTGTAAGACAAATAATTAATACCTGTAATAAAACCGCCGAAGACGAGATCGATGTTAATGAAGTTGACAATGGCGTGCGTGGTAGTGATAAAAGTTGATTAATCTTTCTTTTCGAAAATGCAGAGATTCATCCGTTACGGGTTTCCTACGTACTCGCGTAAATACAGGCCAGTTAAAAATACAATTAATTGATCCTAACATCACCGTACAAAGGAGTTCTAATAGACTTCGGAGAATAGTACGTGAGAGAATAAGCGAATTGATTAGAGCCAAAAATTATAAGACCTAGTAATTCACCGTTCGCGAGCCCTATGTTACTTGTGAAGACGAACGATGGTTCAGATAGATGATTTGTAGATTTTCGAGAACTAAATAAAAATACGGTCGCCGATTGGCATCCTTTACCCCTTGTTGCGGATCAAATCGCGAGATTGCAAAAGCGAGATATTTTATTAGTCTGGGCATGGCCAGCGGGTTTCGCCGCGAGATATTTTATCAGTCTGGACACGGCAAGCAGGTTTCTCCAAATCCCTATTCATCCCAATTCTAGGAAATATACAGCATTGGTTACCCTTGATGGGCAATTTGGACAATAAGTTGTTGTTTTCTTTAAATTCTCTTGTGCCTTTGTTCGGTCCATTCGATGTCCTTTATTTGCTTAACATAAGTGCGTGCGCGTCTAATGTTTCTTCCGGAAATTTTCCGGACGGCGATACTATGCTGACTCCATCGAAAACGGGGATCCTTACATTTTCGGACAACCCTAATAATTTTGCAACTAATACTTGTCTAAATATTCTAATATTTATGTTCTTCCTTACTACAATTTTGTAAACCATCGAAGCATTTACCACAGAAATCCTCAGAAGGAGTCGCAGGCCAAGTCTTCTGTACCATTTGATTCTTTTTCTAATTGTGGCGACGTAAGAAACTATTTGGTCGAAGTGATCTGTACCACACTTTCCTTCATTGTATTCAGCAGCGACTGATGATTTTAATATTGCGAACAGACGAAACGAGAGATCATTCTTGAGATTCCCTTGAAAGGACGTATGGCAGCCAACGAGTCATTCGTACGTTGTTGTCTATTTGGATGATGTCCTAATTATGGCCGACTCGATAGATCAAGCTCTAAAAGGATTGCACACCGTACTAGAAACCCTCGTAAAAGCCGGATTCTCCTTCAACTTTTCAAAATGTTCTTTTCTAAAGACATCGGTACTCTATTTAGGATATGTAATTCACGACGGAGAAGTTTGTCCCAATCCGGGTTTAATGCACGCCTTGAGTTCTTTATCTGCGTCAACGACCGTCACACAGCTCAGGCAGTTCATAGGTTTAGTCTTTTATTTCCGAAAATTCGTACCTAAATTTTTACGGGTAATGAAACCCTTGTATGCGCTTACTTCCGATAATAAAAACATGACTTGGACGGATAGGCATGGAAAAATAAAGCAAAAGGTAATTTACGCCCTGACCGACGCGCCGGTGTTAAAGGTATTTGACCCGAACTATCCGATAGAACTTCATACCGACGCTAGTTCGGATGGATATGAGGTTATTTTAATGCACAACATTGAAGGTAAAAATAGAGTAATAGAATATTACAATATAAGAAGTAGCCTTGCAGAATCTAGGTATCATTCTTACGAACTAGAAACGTTAGCAGTTGTGAACGCCATCAAGCATTTCCGTCATTAGCTACACGAACGAAAATTTCTTGCCGTCACCGATTGTAATTCTTTGAACGCACCCAGCAGTAAGGTAAATTTAAATGCCAGGGTTTACAGGTGGTGGGCTCACTTACACATTTTTACTTTTGACATTCTGTACCGGAAGGGTAAACGAATGGCCCACGTAGATTTCTTCTCGCGAAATCCCGTAGACTTGGATCACCGTACGATCAACGAAGTCATAGAGAAGGAAATCAATCTGACCGAAATCTCCGAAGACTAGCTATTAGTGGAATAACGTCGCGACTCCCAAATTTTTGGGATCGTCAATAAATTGCAGAACGAGGAGCTCACGGGAGATATCGCGAATACGTATGAATTACGGGCCGGTACCCTTCATCGTATACATACCAATACAGAGAAAAGGCAGAACTCTCTGCTTGTCCATTGTCCCCAGAGGTTTTAGATGGTCCGTTATTAACCATGTGCAACAGTCAATTATGCACTTAGGTTAGGATAAAATGCTTGAGAAACTGTGCGAGTATTACTGGTTCGAAGGAATGGCGAAGTATGTTCGCAAATTCGTAGAGAACTGTCATGCCTGCCAAGTTTCGAAGGCTAGTTCAGGTAAAATACAAGCTGAATTACATCCTATACCTAAGACCAGCATACCTTGGCATACAGTTCACGTGGGCATAACGGGCAAACCAAGCGGTGAAAATGGTTTGAAAGAATATGTCATTGTTTTGGTTGACCTCTTCACTAAATTCGCATATCTTACTCATATCATATCATTCGCATATCATACTCGTAAAATAGATTCTCTTAGTACCGTTAAAGCGCTTAAGCATGCTATTTTTATTCGGCAGTCCTTGCCGGATAATAGCGGGTCAAGAGAGG